TAAAGCGTATATCATCAAAGTAGTCATAGTCCTGTATATAATATTATTATTAAATTTATTTGCTCTAAAAAAACAGAAAAAAATGAATGTTTCCTATGCCAAATCTTTTGTTAACGATTTCAGTAGCGTCTCTACGGGGGCCCCCAGAAACTTGGCTTGCTCGGCTTTTGGCCCCCCAGTTTTTAACCATTGATTTCTTAAGTACAGTGCTATTGTCCCCACCCCCGCTCGACAATTATGTGGCGACTGGGCCTTTCCACCTAATGCTTTTAGAAATACCATATCAATCAGTTGATGGGACAATATACCGAGGCTCCGTGTGTCACAGACAGTGTACGTGAAAGATTCCTGGACAGTTGGGAATCGAAAAAAGTAGGTTTATACAGCTTTCCTTGCAAAAATTTCTTCTTAAGCCAAATCAGGTAACTATAGCTAAAACTATATAGGTCTGATGTAAGGATTCTATTGTGATTTTGTCTGTATTTTTAATTATAATAATATGAGATATGATATCGAATGATAACAATGTCAATGTTGATAGTTAAACAGTTGTTGAAGTAGAATCAGTTTAACATCTTCAAACTACTTCAATCCCCTCCACGATCCTTCTATATCCTCCATTTCTTCTTCACGTGAATATTTTACTGTAAGAACCGGAAAATGACACACGCTATGTAGTTAAAGTTGTATGCATCAGGTTTGGCATTGAATCTCAAACACCAATCCACACCAACTGACCTTTTTGCTGATATTCAACATTTTGATGTAGGTCAGTTGAAGGATCATTATTTTCGTACAAGCCACTAAGTGTAGAATAAAACAGTATACTTTTTAAATACCAACAGCTCACTATCAATCATAAGACAGCCAATTGAAAACGGTTAGTTAATACACAGATCAATACACTGATTCCTCGGCTATTCGGAAACAGTCCGAAGACAGATCTTTAATGTAAACTGTATTATGATGAAATATGAGAACCATCTTAAAGTCCGGAATGATGGATTTTACGACCACTTCTAGATAACAGATAGTCCAGATAACTTTATACAACAATCTCACAACTATCATCTTCAAGTCACGGATAATCGGTTTAATATTTCATATAGTCAATACAGAATAGGGAATACGATTTATCAGACGGATTCCATAAGTTGTTTGTCAAGCCGCTATCTTCACAATGGTTATGCAAACTTCTTTCTTATACCTTGACTACAGTGGCCACATTTCTTGCATCACGGAATGCAGCAATTTGATTGGATTGCACGCCAGTGAATACAGCCAATCACAGTCATCGACAGAATGTCTGTCTCGGACTCTGATTGGCTTTATTCGCTAACGTACAGTCTAAACAATTAGCTGCATTTACCAAATTCCCTTCATTTTTCATTTCATGTTGCTTTTTGGACAGATCACCATGCCTTCTCAAAACTTGCTTTACTGAAATTGTTGAAATATTGTCGATTCGTAATATTTTAAAAACGAAATCTTACTTGGGAATTCTTTGAAATTCTCAATAATCACCATCAATCCATTAAACTGCCAACGAGCTTATATTTTTTTTTAGATACCACAGATTACAAAGGAGACTCTTAACAGGGATATTTTGATCCTCATCAACTTTTGCACAAGAGCGCATTTCACCCAAAGCATACATTTTCTGGTATAAGTAAGTCACAGGTTTCCCAGAATTTGCAAAAGATCAACCGATTTTAACCAAGCCTTTTGAGTTTTCTCGAAACTAAAAGAGCGTGGGTACTTGATTTTTACGAAGCAATAAAAATTCCATCTAAGCGGAGATAGCAGCTAAGAATAGACTTTATGTCGAAATACCCCCAGGCCCCTTGTCAGTCAAATAGATGCAAAACGTGTCCCAAGTAAGAAATGTCCCAAATAATATGTAGGAGAATCTAAAAATGATTTACGCACTCGGTTTACGGCACATAGATCAGATATCAAATTAAAGAAAGACCTGTTTCTAATCATTTCGACTTGGACGACCATTCATCAGACGATCTTATCCAAACTCCCATTGAGTATTTGACCTGCCAGAAGATGAAACTACGAAATTCTGTCAAGCTAGGGAAGTCGATTGGTTTGAGACGCTAAATACAGCAAGACTGATAGCATAGCATAATACAGACATAGCACCCTTTGTCGTCTCGTTCAATACCACTAGCAATCGAGCAAGTAAGATAGTCTATGCTCATTATGAGAGCCTGCAAGGGAAAGTCCCAAGTATCTATAAACAAAAGATGATTGTTGCATATTCAAAAAAAAAAACAGAACTTAAATGACAACCTTGTTCCAAGCCCATTAGTATATTATAGTATTATAGTATATAACAATCTCTCGCCCATTGGGCAGGTTATATTTTATCTAATTTCAGATCAGAACAGAGGTAAATACCCTGGTCGTTAATTCCATTTTCTTAATGAAGTATTTATTCCATCCCAGGCCTTTACATTTGGGAGAATCAAACCCTCTCTACCCCACAGCGGAAGGTGTATGTAATGGTAACAATGGTTTTTATTGGAAAGAGAACCCTTACTATAAGAAACTGATGTTTTTGTTTTATAACCGGGTTGAAATGTGGCCATTTAATAAGAAGTGACCAGGTATAATATCCATAATTAAACACAGCGTCGCTTGATTACACGTCATTCTTCCGGTTGTTGATAAATTCAAGGGAGGTAATTAAAGATAAAGGGAGATAATTATAGATAATGGCAGTGATTAACAGAAACTACGATATCATCTACTGTATTGTATTAATAACTGAATCGTATTTAATAGCTCTTGAATACCGAGGCCTTATCTTCACCCCTTTTAACCTTGTTTTGGTATGGAAATTATGATGTAATCAATTGAGATATTTTTCAAAGTAGGACTAACTTAGAATCCGATCAAAGAGGTCCTACGCTTTCTTCATTCAAATATACACTGTATAGAGGAATTTTGTATTCGAGGATCGTAGCTTTTTCAGTACACTTCAGAACTCAAGTCTATATCATGACTGATGGGTAGCCCATTCGCTAAAATGATTAGTTTTAATAGAATTTAGAGCGCAAATTATAACTTATTTTAACAAGAAATTTTGACCTATTTTGAAGTACTTTGTTCTCAATTGAAAGTTCGAATGTGAGTGGGCTTTTCATTTATTCACTGCAGTGTGATCTAGCCTACCTACTATAGCCTATAGAGAGATCTCGACTTTCCAATCATATTCGCAATGTCAAACTATTACGAACTTCGTCTTATACCTTGACTACAATATCCATCGCTTTTGAATCGCGGATGTATGTAACTTCAGCGATTTGGTTGGTTTGTATATCATCAAATACAGCCAACAATCATAGACAGACAGATTTGCTAGTGTTGGTGGTTCTTATGTGAGTCATGATTACTGACCTTTATTTATATAGATCAGTGGTCATGATATTTAGTATAGGGGAGATAATCAATATTAAATGTGCATAGTACCACATTAATTTTCATAGAATAAAAAAAGATACTTTTTACGTTATCTTCACACAAGTCTGACATGCTTCATCCCGAACTAAAATATTGCATTGTGTTTCTGCATATTCTTAGTTTGATGGTTTCAGTTCAGAATTTTTATAATGTAACGACGATAAGACCATAAAGTTTTGACCTGACAATTATATTTATAGAGATATAAAAAATCTTTTCGCCAAATTTCGGTCCATTGATTTGGAGATAAAAAAAAATCCTGTGGAAATTAGTTCTACATATACTTGACTCTAACACTTCTATATAAATTATGTTTCAAATGAAAGTCTAACATGTCATGCATATATTTCAGTTGAAAACAGAAATTTGGAATTTAATCGACTTGGAAGTTTCACCTCCATTTTCTAGAGGAAAATTCCACGAAAGATGGTTTCGTGTAAAGTTGAAAACTAAAGTGCACTTACAGTCAGAGTTTGCGAGGAAGGAACCAAATATTTGGAAGAGAACATCTCCAGACGGTTGCGCATATGCAGTCCATATTCCAATTTTACAACTCTGATATTTTACGAATGTCAACTTATCAAAGCTTGGGTCTTAATCCTAACCTGTGCAGTTTGGAACCCAACCTGTAACGTATCGCTGGTCGTCGCTTGAACTGACAGAGTTTGTAGATACGAGTTGCCTCCCTTCGTTCTGAAACTAATTTAACCAGCCGAAACTTTCCAGCAGAACGTTTTCTACTAAGTTTGAAATGAAAATACTAGGAAACAGATGAGATTCTCTGGTTGTCAACCAAGCGAACAAGCCCCCCTTAGAATACGACAGGGCACCATATGTAAAGAAATACTGTTTATACACATTTGCATTTGCAATTTTTTATTCATGTAAATTGACCTAATTAAGTCAAAAGACATTTATAATATTATATATTATTTATATTTATATTTACAATATAATACATGTCTCATGTCAGTGATGTTTTCAGATAAATATTACTAGATAGTCAATTCATGATTAAAATTATATTTGATCTAAATTTACACTGTCCTCATCCAATGTATGAAATATTTACAATTTATCAAATATAGACAATGTACAAAATATCAGATATTTACAAAATAATACATGTCTCATGTCAGTGATGTTTTCAGATAAATATTACTAGATAGTCAGTTTATGATTAAAATTATATTTGATCTAAATTTACACTGTCCTCATCCAATTTACAAGATATTTACAATTTTTTTAATATAAATAATGTTTCCATGTTTATATTTTCAAACAAATACAAAATATCAAATATTTACAATAGATCAATAATTACAAATTATCTGATAATTACAAATTATTAGATATGTACAAAAGGTCAAATAAATACAAATTATCGAACATTTACAATATATCAAGTATTTACAAGGTATTAATGCATCAAGTATTTACAATGTTTTCAGTATCTATAATGTATCAAGTATTTACAATGTTTTCAGTATCTATAATGTATCAAGTATTTACAATAGTTCCAGTATCTATAATGTATCAAGTATTTCCATTATTTCTGGTAGAGTCGGTCTATAAATCGCTTGAATTTGTGTACAAGAATTATATAATGGAAATAATTGATATACATTAGCACGTTTTATGATTTGTTTAAATAAAAAACCAAGACTATAAATATCTGATTGAGGTGTAGAGAAACATCCTTCTCTCACTTCCGGTGCATAGAATAGATACTCTCCTAGACTTCCCGAACAGCCTTCAAATCGCATACCTTTCCTGAATGTTGCCATACCAAAATCAATAAATCGAATGTCCAAAGTATTTAAGTCAACTAAAATATTGTCTGATTTTAAATCATTGAACAGAATATGATTACAATGAATTTGGAATAAACTTTTACAAATATTTTTACAAATAATAATCCAAGCATCTGGTGGCAAATCATATTCCAGATAAATATCTTCTACATTACCATGACCGTAATATTCTTGAACTAGACTGTAATTTCTAGACTTTTTACGTGGTGTTAAAACACCAAGAAAATTGGGTGTTATATCTTGTCCTTTAAGGTATGATAATATCTGAGCTTCTCGTTCGATATCTTCCCAGCTTACACCATGATGATGAAATTCTTTGATGACCACTTTATTTTTTATGTTTTTCATACTGGCAAGATATACAACTCCAAAACTTCCTCTTCCTATTTCATTATATGAATTATCATCATTTATTTCATATCTTATGTCGCTTCTTTTAATATCCTGAAGTACTATACTGTTTAAAGTTTCTGGTAAGTGACCTATATCAATGTATCCACAAGGAACAAATGGAGAATTCCGCGGATCGAATCCAAACATAGATAACATAGTAGAATTATCTAGGGAAAAATGACCAAAACTGTTTATAGTAACTAAGTTCCGAATATCAAACTCTTTTTCAAAACTACTATAGTCTTCATTGTTAATTGTGTCGTGTTCACACGAACTAGTATCGTTGTTACTGGAGTTAGCATAGTGAACATCAACGCTGGTATGATGAGATGAAATGATATCCCGATTTTGCTGTAATGAAATACTGTGTTCATTTGCATCAGTTGGTGATAAAAATTGTTGATTTGAGCTGGAATCGTAATCAGAATCAAACGAATAGTAGTGTGCATATGAAGTTGTAGATACATATGGTGATTTGAAGGAAAAATACTCCGACTTTTCATCATCATTTGAACTTGTAGTTACATGTGGAGAGCTGCATGAAAAGTACTCTGACCTACCATGGGAAAAATACTCCAACTTTCCATTATCATATGAACCAAGGGTTTGATATGAACTGGTAGCTGAAAGGTCAGTAGAAGAATCTGTGATGGAGTAAAAATATTCTGGAGTATCAGCATTTGACTTGTCATATGAGTAGTTATTGGTTGACGTGCTGTAAAAATCATCCTTGGCAGAATACCAGTCCTCTGTATCTAGAGGAGTGTTGTATTTAATATTAACTGGATCAAATAAATCAGATGATGATCGAATATATTCTATTGACCTAGAGTTGGCAAATCTATCAACATCTTGTTTTAGTTGTTCAATAGATGTTTTCAATGATTCATGCATGCTATCCAAAGCATCTTTAAACTTTTGGAAGTTTACCATGATTTTATCTTCAGATATCTGTTGTTGTGTTGATGTGCTATTGACTGAGAATGCGTGTAGACCTGAATCTGGAGATTTCGGCCCTGAAGCATCAGGTGCATCTGATAGTGATGTTTTCATGCTGTTGGCTGTTGATGACGTCTGAATTGAAGTCGAAATTGTAGTGGCACTCACTTCAGTAGCTGTTGGTATCCAGTTGTAGCTGGTCTGTGTTGCAGCTTCAGAATATTTGGATAGTGTTTGTGTGGCAGCTTCAACTAACTCACTTGATATAGTTTGAGTCTCTGTTGATACAGATACTCTACCAGTCATTTGTGTTGGAGTGTCGAGATATTCCACAGCTGTTCGTAGTTTGGTTAATGGTATGAGACAATCAGTTATTTGAGAAATGGCAGGAATATCTCCCGAGCCCGTGTTATTGATGATCCTGTAAAAAAAAAAGAGACTTCATGAATGAGCAAAATGAAATATATATAATAAATATACAGTAGAAATATGTTTATGATATTACACTATGTTAAATTTAATTAAATCTTTGGATGGAGGAAGGGGGTGGATATCGGTTTCAACGACATATTTGATAAGTATTCCAAATAACCGAAACGTGAAGAGACGCCATGTAAATGTAATAATTCACTAACCTGTATTGATGTGTATTTTGCAACAGATTAGAACTATAACCACTGATTGTAGATCGAGTCAGTGCATTACTTTGCATTACCTAAAACAAACCAAAGTTGTCATTTGATTAATCAGTTTTGCAATATATTTAAGAAATGAAGAATAACCTGGGTCAAAGACTCCGAGACTGAGACTGAGACTGAGGCTGACTTAAACTAGAACTGGGGACAACTGTCAAGGTTTAGAATTAAATTGTACAGTCTGACTCTGAGGAATATTTAGGGGCAAAAACGTATAAAAATAACACTTATAAATTTGTTGCAAACAAAGTTTTGTTGAAATCGGGGGTAAAAACCGCAATTCTAGGGTGTCCCGACTGACTAAGATACAAGTAGTAATAATTGTAAAGCTATAGGCAAATCCTAACACTTCGTGGAAATATTTCATTCTGAATTTTTTTAATTTAGAAGTTTTAGCACGGGATGAAAATTGCATTATTTCAGTTCACTTTCGATGATTTTAAGCTTAACAGTAATGCCAAATAACATACCTTTAATGCCTTTAATCTTAGGCTGCTGAAGCACTGAAGATTTTGTTGAATTAAACTTGGTTGAAATCCATCAGATTTCTTCATCCTCTCTTCATTGGGAGAATAGAGTATCTTACTCTGATAGTAGGCGTCCAAAATTTCCGAGTTTAACATCATTCTATGTTGAATAGTTCAATATAAACAGTAAAATTATGATAATTTTACTAGAGAACGTTCTATCAACTTCTTGAAAACTGAGTTTCAAGAAAAGAATAACGTTAATAATGGTATAACGTCATAAGTAAGAATAACGTCATAATAGCAAATGGGAACACCCTTTGACCTCTAATAATGAATAACTCATAATGTTACATAATTTACCATATTCTTCAGTACATTTCTTTATTTTAAGAATGTATTTATTATGACAAAGAATTTTGTAGAACAGTAATACGTTCCTAATAATAGCCGGGTTCTCAGATTAGTTACCGAGTACTTGGATATCAATACAGAGTCTTTTAGATAGTTACAAGTAATGAGTTTCTACTAATAGCTGGGTTCTCAGATTAGTTACCGAGTACTTGGATATCAATACAGAGTCTTTTAGATAGTTACAAGTAATGAGTTTCTACTAATAGCTGGGTTCTCAGATTAGTCACTCAGTAGTTGGATATCAATACAGAATCTTGTAGATAGTTACGAGTTATAAGTTTCTACTAATAGTTGGGTTCTCAGGTTACGTACCGAGTAGTTGGATATCAATGCAGAATCTTGTAGATAGTTACGAGTTATAAGTTTCTACTAATAGCTGGGTTCTCAGGTTACGTACCGAGTAGTTGGATATCAATACAGAATCTTGTAGATAGTTACGAGTTATAAGTTTCTACTAATAGTTGGGTTCTCAGATTACGTACCGAGTAGTTGGATATCAATACAGAATCTTGTTGATAGTTACGAGTAATAAGTTTCTACTAATAGCTGGGTTCTCAGATTAGTTACCGAGTACTTGGATATCAATACAGAGTCTTTTAGATAGTTACAAGTAATAAGTTTCTACTAATAGCTGGGTTCTCAGATTAGTCACTCATTAGTTGGATATCAATACAGAATCTTGTTGATAGTTACGAGTAATAAGTTTCTACTAATAGCTGGGTTCTCAGATTAGTTACCGAGTACTTGGATATCAATACAGAGTCTTTTAGATAGTTACAAGTAATAAGTTTCTACTAATAGCTGGGTTCTCAGATTAGTCACTCATTAGTTGGATATCAATACAGAATCTTGTAGATAGTTACGAGTAATAAGTTTCTACTAATAGCTGGGTTCTCAGAATAGTTACTGAGTAGTTGGACATCAATACAGGGTCTTTTAGATAGTTACGAGTAATAAGTTCTACTAATAGATGGGTTCTCGGATTACGTACCGAGTAGTTGGATACCAACTAACAGAGTCTTTTAGATAGTTAGGAGTAATAAGTTTCTACTAATAGCTGGGTTCCCAGATTAGTTACCGAGTAGTTGGATAACAATACTGAATCTTGTAGATAGTTACAAGTAATAAGTTTCTACTAATAGCTGGGTTCTCAGATTAGTTACCGAGTAGTTGGATAACAATACTGAATCTTGTAGATAGTTACGAGTAATAAGTTTCTACTAATAGCTGGGTTCCCAGATTAGTTACCGAGTAGTTGGATAACAATACTGAATCTTGTAGATAGTTACGAGTAATAAGTTTCTACTAATAGCTGGGTTCCCAGATTAGTTACCGAGTAGTTGGATAACAATACTGAATCTTGTAGATAGTTACGAGTAATAAGTTTCTACTAATAGCTGGGTTCCCAGATTAGTTACCGAGTAGTTGGATAACAATACTGAATCTTGTAGATAGTTACGAGTAATAAGTTTCTACTAATAGCTGGGTTCTCAGATTAGTAACTGAGTAGTTGGACATCAATACAGGGTCTTTTAGATAGTTACGAATAATAAGTTCCTACTAATAGATGGGTTTTCAGATTAGTCACTCAGTAGTTGGATATCAATACAGAATCTTGTAGATAGCAACGAGTAATAAGTTTCTACTTATAGCTGGGTTCTCAGATTAGTCACTCAGTAGTTGGATATCAATACAGAATCTTTTAGATAGTTAGGAGTAATAAGTTTCTACTAATAGATGGGTTTTCAGATTAGTCACTGAGTAGTTGGATATCAATACAGAATCTTGTAGATAGTTAGAAGTAATAAGTTTCTACTAATAGCTGGGTTCTCAGATTAGTTACTGAGTAGTTGATATCAATACAGAATCTTTTAGATAGTTACGAGAAATAAGTTTCTACTTATGGCTGGGTTCTCAATTTAGACACTAAGTAGTTGGATATCAATACAGAATCTTTTAGATAGTTACGAGTAATAAGTTTTTACTAATAGCTGGGTTCTCAGATTAGTCATTCAGTAGTTGGATATCAATACAGAGTCTTGTAGATAGTTACGAGTAATAAATTTCTACTAATAGCTGGGTTCTCAGATTAGTCACTCAGTAGTTGAATACCAATACAGAGTCTTGTAAATAGTTACGAGTAATAAGTTTCTACTAATAGCTGGGTTCTCAGAATACGTACCGAGTAGTTGGATATCAGAATCTTGTAGATAGTTACGAGTAATAAGTTTCTACTAATAGTTGGGTTCTCAGATTAGTTACCGAGTAGTTGGATATCAGAATCTTGTAGATAGTTATGAGTTATACGTTTCTACTAATAGCTGGGTTCTCAGAATACGTACTGAGTAGTTGGATATCAGAATCTTGTAGATCGTTACGAGTTATAACTTTCTACTAATAGCTAGGTTCTCAGAATACGTACCGAGTAGTTGGATATCAGAATCTTGTTGATAGTTACGAGTAATAAGTTTCTACTAATAGCTGGGTTCTCAGATTAGTTACTGAGTAGTTGGATATCAGAATCTTGTAGATAGTTACGAGTTATAAGTTTCTACTAATAGCTGGGTTCTCAGAATACGTACCGAGTAGTTAGATATCAGAATCTTGTAGATAGTTACGAGTAATAAGTTTCTACTTATTTAAATAGTCCTCAGAATTACTAGAAATGTACGAAAATTGCATAATTCCTTGAAAAATACCTCAAACTAGAATTTCACTTTCTGTTTCGATATCATTCTTTTGTATATAAGGCACAATATCAAGAAAGGCGAGTCGTCATTTTAATTTTCAAGCGCAGATGGATTTGAAATAATATACGGCTCAAATTTCGACGGTAAGTTGTGAACACTATTACTGATTAGCTTAGCTAAAAAGTTCTCGCTTCTAAGGAGAGTAAGGTAGGGGCCTACGATTGGTTAAACGGGTGGTGAACCGTCCCTTTAAAAGTCCCTTTAGTTAGTCATTTCAAAAACCAGATTCAAATTGCATGAAAGACTACAAGTATCAGTTATTCCACACAACTTTTAAATCAGTTTCACCTTTTATTATCTTTCTAAACAAGTCACTTCCGCCTAAATATCGCTTAATATCGAATCAAAACACGCGCTATTTTTCCAATTAGTCCGCGATCACAGTTAACTTTGCTAGCAGACGATTAAATAAAATCGAGGCTACCACACCAGTCAGCTGTTTGTTGCTAAAGTGAAATTATTGGAATTTCCGTGTGTCGAAATTCAACATGAGATTAACTTAGTTTAAACTTGGATTAAAACAAGTGTTAATATAATCACTGTACGACTCAACTTGGATTAAGAAATAAGGAAATTCGTGAAAATTATTGTGTTTAAAACAAATGAAAGCTTAGCATGCTATGAAAAAATATCATTTTTCAACAATAATAAATGGATGGACACGAAAAGTGGAATAAACTTTCGTAATATTTATACGGAAACTTACTGAAATAAAACCTGACCAATATCTGGCACCTCTTTTGAGTCACTGCCATCAAGGCAACTTTTATTTCGTGCTTACCAACGTTTTATGACAATATATTATTTTATTAACGGTGATGAAATTTGAAAGAGTTAACAGCCCAATTTGTGTTTAATTAGGTGCTGATAAAGAAATTCTCGAAGACTGGAGTTTTAGTGAAGTATGTACAATGTTAAAAGTACAATTTTTGACTGATGATTGTGTTGACGCTGTAGTTTGTTGAATATTGCTTCACAATTTTTCTACGAGTAGATCTATACATAGCTTTCATGTTTAAAGTACAGGACTGAGATATTTTGTGATTCGGATATTAAACTCTTTATTTCACACCTATCAAAATGGGAAGTGGATTATTAGTACTGTACTTTGTTTGTGTATTAACAATTCTACCAGTTTGTATCTTGACGTTTGAAAATAGTTATATAACGAACAAAGAGTTAAATAACCAGCTGCCAGGTCACCAACGTGAAGATGATTACTCTAATCTAAGCACCAATGAAGAAGCTGTAAGTATCATTCGTCTATCATGACGGAGGTTAATACTTAGGTGATTTTAGGTCTAAAGGTGGGAATAGACGAGGTACGGTGTCCGGTGCGATGTACGATGCAGGATTACGATACAAACGAAAATAGAAGAAACGAATCGTGTGTTCACTTCATTTATTTTCATTTGTATCCATTATTCCTCACTGTACACCGCATCAGATACCGTACCTCGTCTATTCGCGGCTTTATACTATAAATATTAGAGGACAAGAATTTTGTTTACAGATTTCCGATTGCGAAAAAAAAATGTTTTTAATTCGAAGAAAATGCAAATTAAACTATGTAATTTGTCCAAATTTTTCGCTTTAATGATGCTAAAAAATCTATTCCGTATATAGTATATGGTATATAGATCTAATAACCTTATTTGGTTAGATTGCCAGAATTAAATCCTTTAATATAATAAAGCGATACACTTATCACGTTGAATAAATAATACAAGGTAAATGAACGATGTATATTAGGTCTAAACGTGTATTTAATTGATGTACTTAGATCTAACAAACTTATTTTCTCACATTAAACGTCGAGTAAGCGTTTGATAGCCGTCACAATGTCTCCTGTTATAATTATTAGATGTTCATTTACACATACTTTATTTAGAGGCGGATACGGGATTTTCTTTTAGAATTGCA